TCATGTACACCTAAACATACACTTATGCAGTTACATACAGTCACACACACACACACATATATATATATATATATATATATGTGTGTATTTGTATGTGTTTGTATGTGTGTATACGCGCATGTATGTAGAGACAACAAGAAATTTCAGGACAATCCCATACATCCCTGGCGCACTATTCTGTTCCACCCGCCGAGCCTGCCGTATCGACTTCTTCCGATGTCTTGAACCGAGGAATCTCTCATTTCAATCACAAGCGTTTTTCGAGATTGTGAGGACCGACCCTTTCCCGGTCGGTGCTCCCAGACTGAAAGCAAAGGAACATCATCATAAGCGAGACGGTCGGGAGGGTGGGAGAAAACATATGGAAGAAAGTTCTTATAGCAAAATGGCGGCGGAACATACAAGAGTTCAGACCGATCGACATGTGTAAACCCTCGGAGTCGATCGGTTGAAGCATGAAAAGCAAAGAGTTGCCACTGTGACACACACTTGTGCTACACTGCATATGTATGTATGTATGTATGTAGGTAGGTAGGTAGGTAGGTAGGTAGGTAGGTAGGTAGGTAGGTAGGTAGGTAGGTAGGTAACGGTATGTGCATGTGCATACATGTATCTATGTATAGACGTACAAATAAACAGCTGTGTATATGTATCTACCTATCTACACTGATATACTGGACATAGTTTTTCTCTCAGTTTCTGAGCAGTTCTGCGGCCTCGTAAGATCTGTGTTTCAGAGATGCTTCAGCTTTCTTCAACAGCCCAAAGATGGCTACAGTCAGACAGAAGCTGTTCTAAATCAGGAGCCCCTTCAAGTAAGGTACCTCTTTGGAGAATGGCGTACAAATTAGAGACCCTGAAAACATCCTGTAAAAAACCAACCTAGCTCTGGGATTCCCTGTTCCCATCTAGCAATCCCCTCTACAATACTTTCAAGCACTCCCCATGTATTAACACATCAATGCCGGGAAGACCACCAAGAGCCTGCTCAAGGAATAAACCCCAAAAGCAAGCAAGGGACCCTAATTTAGAGAACTCCCCCTACAGTAGACCCTGAAACCTTCTGGTACCCTTAACGGAATCCCCCCCCCCCCCCTCCCCCCCGAAACAGCAACCCCGAAGTTTGCCTGGCAGAAGTCCTTGGCCCACGGTTGCCACGATCATTCCACCTGCAAGCCCGAGACGAAGCCGCTTCGGGACGGGTCTTAAAGCCTCGCTTAGCATCTGGCGCTTTACGGCTTAGGGCCGGTTTAGGGTGACGGTTTTGGGTTTCCTTGTCCTTTCGGGCCTCGTAGCAACATGGCACTTGAGCCAACATGTTTTGAGCCGTAGTCATGCCCTGAATGCCAAAATCTTACACCCACTTTCAACTTGACCGGGATCATTCAGAAAAGCTCCTACCAGTATTAGTGTTCAACAGCATCCCTAAACCCTAAACACTCGCCAAAAGCCCTAAGCCCTATATCCTCTAGATACTTATTGATATGAAACAGCTAGGTGTCAAGGTTCAAATTTAAAGGCTTTGGGTGTATAGAGGTTTGGACTATGATAGCTCTTTGCAAAGCGGTGGAACACGGCTTTGAATTGGCATTGTCAGAGTAGACGCCTCTTTGGCACATACGTGTTTTGCTGTTGTGCCTGGTTTTCTGTTATGTGCGCCTTTTCGCATCGCAAACGCGGGATGATGACGTCGTGCGGCTTTGCAACTGTCATTGCCGGAAACTCGGGCTTGAGCAAACCTTCTGCGACGCTTAAACAAGCGGGCACCTACAGTCACGAATTGTACCTTCTGAGGACGAGGGAGAGGGAGGGCGGGAGGGAGGGAGGAAGAACAAGTGATTAGAAAGTCAAGAAACCAGCCACTATCCCTGAAGCTCATTAGCCTAGAGGGCCTGCAGGGGTCAGTGACGGAACAGGCCTAGAGAAAGGTTCACCGAAAGCTTGCGCCCAATGTTGTCGGCGATGTAGCCCAGTGCGAAACCTCCGAGCAGTTCATCCGCCCCTGAAGCCTGAAGACCGAACTCAGTGCCATAACTCCAAACTCTCCAACCTCGAGAAGCCAGAAGCCCCATACTCCCGAACCTGCTTGCAAGAATCCTACACTTGTGGTTGCGGGGCATGGCGAGATCAAGACCCTCAAGATGCAGAAGACGAGCCCATGGATCTGAAGGACGACAATCACAAGGGGCGTCTTTGTCGCCTTCTGTGAGGGTCGGTGCAGTGATAGCCAGGAGATGCAAAGACTGGACGACTGACGGTCTTTAGGGGGAGTCCCCCTATTTTCGGAAGCTTGAGGACAAGGTCACACCCTCCGTGCCCTCCGACGGACGAGGGTCTGAGAGCCATCTTGTCAAAGATCTTTGCCCTTCGGTTTCGGCGCTCGCAACTCGGACAAGTCCAGGCGAGGCATATGTCTGTAGGTCGGATGAGGACAAAGCTGGAAGGACTGACGAGTTGTGGGTCTTGGGCTTCAGGGTTCGATTCTCATCGGTGTGGAACCAGTAGGGAGTGTGAGGTTTGGCAAGTGGGGCAAACACCCGTTTTTGTGCAAGCAAGAACGCCTGTAAAAGCCTCAAAACCCCTTTCAAACGCCCCATAAGACCCCACCACTAGACCTGCAAGTCCTAGAACCCTTTCGATTTTCGGAATTTAGGAGCTTCGGATCCCGTAGAAGAAGCAAGCTCCAAGCCCAAGCCGAAGCCTCCCATGGGTCGGGCAACAAACGTGATGGCGAATCCGAACCTTGGAAAGACTACATCATGTCTCGTCTCCGCTGAGGTTGACATGGGCTTCTAGAAGATTGCGCCGAAGAGTCAAAAAGGCATCTGGTTCTACACGTTACTGCAGGAGCTTTACATGTTTTGCGAAGGCTTGACAGCGGTTTCCATGGGCTTGCCCTTGTGCTTTGTGATTTGGAGCTTCAGTGCAAGCTAGAAGCCCCGGAATCAAAAGCTCTAACCTCCTGGGATCTGTCTCTGACACCCTGCACTGCTAGATCTGAGACCCATATGGTAGGTCGGTAGGTTTTGGTTTTGATCCAAAGAAACATGAGAAAAAGACCCGGCAAAATGCTTGTGCCCAGCATGTGACAAGTAGGGCTTGGGATTCTGGGATTAGTGCTCGGGGCTGAAAATGAGTGCCCGAATAACTGCGCATGAAGTTTGGAGGGTATTCTAGCCTGTCCTGGAAGACTACTGTTAAGTATTGGGGTTTCGGTCAAACCGCGAAACCCTCAAACCCCTGGCCCTAACAAAAACACCCGCCACAAACATATTATCTAACCCCGTAGGCTCTTCGACTGCAAAGACAAGGGTCCATCCTCCATTCGCAGAACCTCCGAAGAAGTTCTCGGAGATCTCCTTTTCGACGTATCCATACCTGTTTACTGGCTCTACTAAGGTACCGTATACGGGCTTTATACCGGTTGCAGCGGGGCTTTTATGGTTCGGGGTACTTTTGGGTTTTGGGTTTACTACAGACTATCATGCCAGCGTAGATCGCCCCAGGCAGTGATCCAGCACCACCGCGACCATGACGACGATGGCGACAACGACGACCACGAGGAGACCACCAGGAGATCATCTAGAGACCACTAGGATATCAGCACGAGACCACCCAAAGACCACCAGCAAACCACCGGCAGACCAGAGGAGCACCGGACAACACGACCAAAATACCAGAGACGTAGTTGGAGGGAGGCTTTCGCATTTCAATCTTCAGGAATTATGCAGATGTTTTATCCCCCACGGATGTGTTCGCATCTGAGATTGCCACAATGGCCAGGCTCCACAACAAACAAGCTTCTACAGTCTGACATGCCACGAAAACCTTGTCAGGGATCAGCAGTTCCCTAAGTTCAAAAAGCCCTGGCATCTGTCTGGATTGCGTGGCGATAGAGACGCAGATTGAGTGAACCTTGACTTACGAATCTTTGATCCCTGCCCAACAAAAGCATGTCAGGCTTCAGGAAATGTAGGATGTTCGATCCCTGCCGATGCTTTCGCAAAGAGCAGGTGCTCCCATCTCCACGATACACTTTAAACGTTCGCTTGTGTGTGTGTGTGTGCTGCTTATACACACACACACATATATGTATATATAGATGTGTACGTGTGTATGTATATATATATATATACACCATGCACACACGCACACGCACACTTGTATATCTATATATATATATATGCATATATATATATATGTATTTACATACTTGTTTATTTATTTATACACACATACACACACACATATTGTCATATACACATACGTATACATATACATACATATATAGCCCAAGGATCCCTTCGACACAAGAAGTAAACTCCCCTAGGCAAACCTTATAAGACATTAAGGAAAGCCGACATGAAAATTGGAATGCTACAAGCAACCCTACGTTTAATCCCCAACCGAAACATGTTAATTAGGGAATTTGGAGCCAAAGGCACACACCGAACTCGTACCATTCGAGTGTGTTGCCGAGAAGGAGAGGCCAAGTCAGCCTGCAGACTGAGGGTTTAGGGTTTAGGGTTCCAATCACAAGCCAAAACGAAACTGCTTTAGGGTCTGACTCGGTCGGGCATTCTATAAAATTTCGCTTATGAGCCCGCAAACCCAAAACTTCGAACCCTCTCGCTGGGTTGTGCCCTTTTTGTGGAAACTTTGCCCGATCCTTTTTCTGGAACAGCCTTGCGAAGTATCAGAGTGTCTGAGTATCACAGACTCTTACCGATGCCAGGCCTCAGAAAAGCCTTCAAATCGCTCATGTAGCCTTTTGCAGGAGCTTGCTCAACGTTCTGGACATCGTGCTGCACATCCACCGTCATGGGCTCTGGGCGACTATAACTTCAAAAACCTTTGATGTTTTGGGCCAGCGAGCTGCAGAGAATCCTACGTCATGGGAGAAAACATGCAAAGTGGTGCCAGCTCTCTTTACAAAACCTGGGCTGTTATGGTCTAGCGCACAACCCTTGCCTATCTGTGCCGATATCTGAGCACCCGGCCATCGCACATGTGGAGCAGGCCGAAGACACTCTCTCCACCTTGGGGTACTGTTTTCTTTCAGGCGCAACTGTCTGTGCGACTGGCAGATGGCCCGTCTTCATGAGGGAACTTCACCGGCATCGTCCGATAAGGAAATCTACCCTCGCCCCTGGCTTTCGCGACGACATTCGGGGACTCCTCGCTTTCAGCCGCAGATTCGGGCACGGAGCTAGGATGCTGCATGCATGCCATGCCGCACATCGCACGGCATCCGGAAAGGTGCAGGACGCGCAGTCGAAAGCAATGCCGTCCTCGGCTCTTTGCTCGTTGCGGTATAGCAGCATCTAGTCGTTATGTGGTAGCTCAGCAATGGAAGTACCAGGACCGAATCAAGCATTGTGTGGTCCTGCATGAACGCACTCGTATAGACCATTATCCTACTACTGCAGAGCTCAGGTGCCGGGTGAGTATTCGGTGGACATTCGATACGCACTGTCATAAGCTGACCCCACATATTGGCCCTAAGTGCACACATTCGACAGTCGGAAACTCTTGGCCCTCAGATAAGAACTCCAGCTCTCAGCCCAGGAAACACATATCAGAGTTGATAACAAGTGGTTGTGAAATAACACCGCATCAAGTTCCCTTTCCCGGAATTGGGTTGTTGTTGTTTTTGCTTGACACCGAACTACCGATCAAAACCATAATCTTGATGCTAGGCACAACTTTAGCACGGTGCCTCGTCTTCGCTCCTGACTGGACTGTGTTTGGTTGTCGTGCAACTTTAGTACTGGACATGCCTCGTTCGGGGTCCTGGCTGGATTTTGCTGGGCTGTAGTACAACCTTAGTACTGGGAATGACTCGTTTGAGGTCCTGTGCTTGTCATGCAACTGTAGCACCGGACATGCCTCGTTCGAGGTCCAGGCTGGATTGTGTTTGGATATAGTACACCTTCAGCCTCGTTTTGGCTAGATTGTGCTTGGTTGTGGTACAACTGTAGTACTGGAAAATGCTTCGTTTGGGGTCCTGGATGGATTTTGTTGGGCTGTAGTACAACTTTAGTACTGGAAATGCATCGTTTTGAGTTTTGCCCTGGCTGTGTTGCCTTAATTTTGGCGTTATCGCTATTGTCGTTTGTTGTCATCGTTTTTACACAGACAATTCTTGAACAAAAAAGAACGAACATGCTGAGACTAAACGCTGAAGCGCGGGGGTATTATACAACCGCAAGTGAAAACTCTGTGGCCCCGGCGATGGCGTAAAATACCCGTACTATTAGTAAGACAGGGGCCTCAATAGCTATGATAGGTTTCGGGGAGGGAACGACAGAAAACTATACTCGAAGTGTATAAGGACGATAAGTAAAGGGGTGCACTGTGACAATACACATTTTCAGACCCGTATGCATATAGGTTATTGAGGACCTTGCGTAAGAACCAGCAGCAACGATCAGAGAGAAGACGCTGGTGGTCTGCGCGGACTTCGCCTTGCACCGGTTGAAGAGTAGCAAAACCGGTCCAGCACTTGTACAGGGGCCTTGAGAATTTCAATAGCATTTTGGGGGGATCATAAGCCCAAAGGCCCTAAGGAATAAGACCAACCTTTGCTCGAGGAAACGTTTTAGTTGTGCCTTGCCTGTCTACACCAGCATGGACTCCATACATTCTTCTGTAGTGGTTCTTGTAATGGCTGGTTTGACTTAGGATCTGGACTCGAAACTCAACGCGTGCCGTGTGGACCTGCCATACAGCACAGTGCCACCCCAACCCTGAAACCTTTCACAAACCCTTAAGCTTCAATCCCCAAAGACCCAAACCGTTCTCGATGCTGCGAGGCCGAGAACATCAGAGCCCCAAGAAGCCCAGCAATCTACATACGGTTAAGGGTCCAGGCTACAGAGCGAGGCTTTAGGACTTTGGGTCCTAGCCTAGTTTAATGGCCGGAAAGGGAGTAACAAAAATTTGCGTGCATCTGGACTCCCCAACAGGCATGGTTCTTTCATCGCCCAAGGCACGAAGATGTCGCACCTGTGCAAGGATCCCAAACCTCGCAGACAGTGAGGTGCTGCTCTAAACACCTACTTAGCATAATATCTTTTATCGATCTATCTATTCATCTATTTATCTGCCTATCTATCTATCTATCTATCTATCTATCTAGCTATCGATCTATCCCTCTAATCTAATCTAACCTGATCTTATTTTTTCTAATCTCATCTAACCTCGTCTATCTATATTTATCTATCTATCCATCTATCTATTTGTCTAAGTCGGTATATACATCTTTGTATCTATAAAAAAACTCTTATAACTATAACCATATCAGAATCCATATCTGGATCGATGTCAAAATTCATACCTATTCCTATCGATCTACCTACCTGCCTATCTGTGCATCTATCTGTCTCTGTTTGTCGATCTATGGATCTACAGATCTGCCTATTGATCCATATATCGGTCTGTCGATTAAAGTGCTTATCCATGCATCCATCCATCCATCCATCATCCATCCACACATACGGATCACATAATGTCATATGATATGATAGGATATGATATCATATCGTATCATGCCACCTCAGAAACCGTATCATATTCATGTGCGCACGCTCAACGATGCGAAACGTGGCGCACGTACAGGCAACATATGCACAGACAGACATACATACATGCATGCATACATACACACCCAAATACATACACCACCTGCATGCGCGCGTGCATACATGATCGACATGTGTACATATGCGGTTGCCACACACTGCTACAAACATAGATCTGGGTTACATTGGTTTCGGGTCACCCAGCAGGACCAACGCAAAAACCCACATGCAAGCTGGGACGACGATGCATAGTCGCGTGCCAAAGGAACAAATGCATGTCGGCCTGCTTCGTCTAAGCGTGGGGCATATCATCGGTCAGCCAACACTTGGCTTTCTGAGCCCGGCTATGGCCGCGAAGGTCCACAGCCCGCAACCTCGCTCAGGGTTCGGTCGGCCCTTGTCGTACCATCACGACATGACAACCTGACATTAAGAAACACCTTCTTGACTTGAAGAACTTCTAGTTCACATATGGGACCCAGACGGGGAAGGTGACTGCTGCCCTTCCGGGAAGCGAGCCTCGTGCGAACCCCAGAGCCTTTTCTTTGCTACCGGACTCAAGTCTGGCCCTGGAGCCTGGCGCCGAAACTGAAGCTCACCCCCCATGTCCCGATAGTCCTGAAAGATGTTCCAGAAAGTCCAAGTCCCATGACAAGCTCCTTTGAGATTGGCATCTTGCGCACGGACCTCCGAAAATCCTTACAAACTCCACACTTCCGCCGCAAGGACCGGCCAAACTCAACTCTGCCGTCTCTGCCGCTCAATTGTGTGACCCCGTTCTGGTGCCCTGCGCAACATGCGCCCAGACAGCATTATTTGCTGTTTTGCCTTCAGACTCCAAAAAACACTGAAGATATGTGAAGATCCTGAACCCGACATGCTTGCCAGCTAAGGGCTGCTTCAAACGGCCCAAAGGCACTAGCGGCGGAGGGCTTAGCGGTCCCCCGGCATCGATGTAGCCCTCGGGCCTGGGTCGGGGCGGCTTCTCAGTCATCAGTCATCGGAGGCTGCGGACTCGTAAGAGTTTAGGGTATGCGGCTATGGGGAGGACTTCCGAATTCCTAGCTTCGCGGCGAAAGCCAAGTTCCACTCCAACACCGCACAACGTTTGGCGCGTCTATAATTCCCAGCTGTCACGCAACGCCGCCTTGCAGTAATGCCTCGTCATGCCTCGTCATAATGCCTCTACATCGTAGTCCCCTCACCAAGCCTATCGTCTCTCAGGAAAGCATGGCCCGGGCAAACGCAACTCTTGAAGCCGCGGGCATGCCTTGCACAGCACCTGGGCGAATGAATTCGCAAACTTTAGGCTCCTGGTTTTGAACAAAGCCAGCCAGAATCTCGCAGCTGCAAAGTCTATAAAGTATAAAAGCACACATCGAAACACAAACAAGCCTTGCTTGGGAAGTCCCAGATCCAGCTTCCAATGATACACTGTATTATGCGCATTCGATGGTTCCGAGTTCTTGGTTACTTTTCTGGTTGTGCTTGTTTCGGCTTCGCTTATTACGTGCTTGATTTTTCGTCTGGGTCTTGCTATTTTCTAGTGTCTGAACTGGAAAAGTACCCAAGAACTGTAGCGTCCCTATCCTGTGTAACCCAAACAGTGCCGAACTTTTCAAGCTTTGCCCCACAGGACATACGGCAGAAGGGCCAACTTCATTCAGTCATGTACACAACATCCGCTGCTGCACTCCCCGTGCATGCCCGCCCATGTAGCTCGAGGATTCTAGAACTAGTCGTCACCCGTCACCAGCATCATAAGCGAAACCATCCTTACCAGCACAGCAGTCTGCTCATTGTAGCTCGTGTCAACTACTGTGGTCGCCATCGCTCGTGTTTCTATCGACACGAATGATGTCGCTGAGGCCTCCAAGTCTTTCCATGTGGCAGAGCAGCGTCGGAAAGAGAGCTCCCGTAGGCCGCAGGAACGGGGAAGCTCCTGGTGTGGTTTTGTTGCTGAAGCCCAAACTTCCGCTTCTCCTCCTCCTGCGCTTGCTCCTACCGCTACTATACGACAACTGGCAAAGACTGATGGGTTGGAGCTGCTCTTGCCACTGGTAAACCTACATTTCTCTTGTTGGTGCCCTTGTTGGTACTCTCGCCTTCACCAGTACTGTTGCAGTTGCTGCTGTCGCTTGTTTCTCTAAGTCTTACGCATGCTAGCAGTAGCACCAGCTCCACAGCAGCACAACCAATGCGAATGCAACCTTGTCTGCCAAATCGTCAGTGTCAGTTTGCGCAATCCTCGCATAGATAAGACCCTGAATTCCAAAGTAGAAGCCTGAAGCCCAGTCCTACAACCCTAAAGTCAAAAACCCCGAACCTGAAATAAGAAAAACCCTCAAGCCCGAGCAGCTCACAACTAGCCCTTAAACCCTGAACCCTAACTCCCCTGCGAATGCCTCCGTCAGGTATTGCAGTGACACTTGGTACTCCGAGGTGCTCGTTAGCACCAAGACCTGGTCTGCGAGTTCCCTTGGGCTCTCCAATGTAGTTCCAGGTTACGATCACCATGTTAGGCGGTTAGAGCTCTGCGACAAAAACACAATGCAGCCCAAGAGGGCTTTGCCAGGGCTAATGTAGTTTTTTTTTGCTTGCAGTTCAGTCTTCCCCTCCGCTAGTTGTTGGAATTGCAGTTCCGTGCTCTAGGATATAGGGCACTGCCGGATTACAAGGTTCTTCGTGTCAGAGAGTTGCCCGATACTAAATTACCAGACAAACAACACTGATGGCGGCAGCAACTGCGGCAGCCATACTTAAAGCCCCACTTGCAAGGCAAGCAAGGTGAAGGACAGCAGAAATGCGTTTGCACTTGACAATTCAATGCAAGACTCCCCATTCACAGCAGAAGCCAGCACTTGAACATAATGATCCTATGTTTGCAATGTAGAGGCCCCCGGGAGGGGAGTCGAGAAACCCTTCACTCAATGCTCTGAACAAATTAATTCGCCATGATTTTCCGGAGTCTGTAAGAAAAGGCAGCCACACGTAGACCTTAACCTCTAAACCTCACAACTGAGGGACCTGCCCTGAGTTGCTTGCAGGATTTCAACACCTGTCCGAACCGGCATGCCCAGTTGCCCAGTTCGGTGGTGTTTCTGTGTTTCGGTGGTTGCAGGGCTGGTTCAGAACTCCGGGACGCGGGGATTTTTCAAAGGATTCAAGCCGGCGAGTTCGTAGATGGAAGCTTAAACTTAGGAGAGAACCTTGAGAGCTTGGGGTTCATGGATTCGGGTTTGAGGAGTTTCGCGTCTGCAGCTCCCAGAGGAACCCTCGATTTGCATGTGAGACTTACCTGGGACCCAGGGTCCGCAAACCCGACGGCATGGTCAGGGCCTCCACGGAGCACGCCGGGAATCCGCACTTAAACCCGGACGCCCCAGAATTCCAAAATGCCTATAATCTATAAGCCCTGAACACAAATCCTGAAACTCGGTAGGCATTGCCCATTGCACAACGACCGCATGCTTCCGTAAACCCCACACTCTCAAAACCCGCCTACAATGACAATAAAGGAACAGGGCCTGTTGAGTTCAGGGATTGCTTCTGGTTCAGGGTTCGATAAAGTTCTGAGCTGGGCTTGGGCTTGGGATAAGTGCTTCTGCTTGATCTGATCGAAGCGTGACGATTGTTCTTGACTCTGGTGCAGCTCCGATTGGTCATCAACAATTCAACCGTAACAAAGTGGCCTGCTTCCGACATCTCGAATGCCAAGGCAGTATCAGCAGCTGCCACAACGTGCAATACAAGCACCATGCCACACAAAACCATGATCAACACATCGCAATGGAAACACGCAAGCCTCAACCGAATCCCTCCAGTCTACACCGACAATTCCGGCCGCTCCGACAAGCCTTACGTTGCAGAATGCGCACCTGTCCCAGGTTCACGATGTTCGGTACCAGGGACAAGCTCAACCTACAGGGGCGCACTGCAGGGTTGAGGCCGATCGTAAAACTAAAGCTAGGTTGGAGGATGCTGGCTTTATTGGAGTGCCTTTTTCAAACATTATCTTCCGCTTCTCCCTTGGCTGCGCTACTCTAGGGGCCGAAACGTAATAAAAACTATGCTAGACAAGGGTCTTGGGCTATAGTAGAGTACAAAGAGGTTCAGATTCAAGGAGTATGTAAGTTTAACATCACGAAACATATTCAGAGCCCATGGGCCTCTTTATGTCCTCTGCGGCCAAGCAGCTTCAGGGCACGGAGCTTTAAACAAGACGCCAAGCCCGAACAGGCGCCAGACACCTCGGACTCAGCGACAGGCAAAGGTTGTAGGGATTTAGGAGACTTAGGGTTTTGGGGTTTAGGGTTTAGGGGTGTAGGGATTTAGGGTTTAGGGGTTTAGGGTTTAGGGGTGTTGGGATTTAGGAGGTTTAGGGTTTGGGGGTTTAGGGTTATAGGGGTTTAGAGATTAGGGGTTTAGGGTTCAGGGCTTGGGGGTTAAGGGCGAGAGGTTCCGTCGCCAAAGGCTCTGCCGGGGCAACGAGAGGTGTTCAGGCAAATCCAAAACTCGCCTGCATCCGCTGCAGTACTTAGAATGGTTCCTGCATGAGCATCCGGGAGACACCCTGTCAGCATCCCACGGCACCCAGCGCGTCTAGACTCAAAGAACCGATCAAAACCTGGAGCTCGAAGCCCTTACAAGTATCATAAGGAACCCGAAGGAACGATATTGGCGTTATTACTACAACTACTATAACATACTGCACTATAGTAAGGTCACGACCATTGATCGCGCAACCCTGTAACACAAAGCACCACTTCTCAAAGCGCTAGGGCCGGCAAACCCTAGCAGTCCGGAAGCTCTCAACCAGCCAAACCCTAAACTCGCCTGTCAATCCTGGAGCCCCGAAACCCGTATGCACCACGCCCACAAACCCGAAACTCTTTTATTAGTATCCTGATAGTAGGACTATAAGAACCCCAGAGAGGAACCCTGTAAAACCTATTCTGCGAGTCCCATGGGCCAGCCCCGGTTCGGTCACTTCCGCAGATCGGAGAGAAGGGCAGCGGCGCAGGAAGAATCGGAGGGCCTCTTGGATGAGGGACTGAGGGCAAAGAGATAATGCATAAGTTACTGCATTGGTTTTGTATAGGATTACGTATGAGGTTCAAGGATTACCTAGAAGTATAGTGTTTAGGTTTCAGGGGGACCGGGTCAAGGGGGTTTAGTTTAGTGCTTCCGGATTCGATGATACAACGAGGGGACACAACTTAACCTTGGAGAGAGAAAGAGAGAGAGCGAGAGAGAGTCAATCTCCATAACCCGCTTTCACGTGCTGATCCATGGGCTACTACCACCCAGATGACAACTAACAAAACTTTGGAAAATCTGGCTTGGGACAACAATTTTGTGCGAGACACCTGAATTCTTAGAAAACCAGAACCTTTTCCTGCATCGGGGCTGTGAACTTCTGGCCGGAGAGGTGCAGCAAACCCGAAATTCGAAACTTTAGCATCTACCGTGAACTCTGTAAGAACTAAGCGCAACACACATTCTAAATAAAGTAAGCGGAGTCAGTCACCCTATAGCATGCAATTACGCCGGTGATCCTTAAGGCCCAAACCCTTACGATCCTGCAGAAGCTTCGTTTCTTTTCAACTGCTGGGCTCGCCCTGTCGCTGGCGATGGTGTCAGATTTCCTGGGGCTCAAAGCAGCCCAAGTAGGTGCCATCCACAGGCTAGGGCAGCTAGGGCTTGTGATAGGGTTTCGGGTGGGTAGCTTTGTGAATACTTGCAGCCTCGGGGACCAAGCCGCGCTACTCACGCGGGTGAGACTAGAAGGCGCCATGGAAACTTCTCAGAAGATCGCGGAAGTGTTGCTGCGCGCAAACTTCTCTAGCAGGCTGAACATCTCAGAGGTGCCCATGCTTGTACCCTTCTTTGCTGGCCCAGAGCCCAGTCGTGTGTTTTGGGAATGAAATGCAAAATCGGAAATGAGCTGCCTCCAAGCCCGAACCTCCCTGGAGAGCAAATCAACGCGTGTTCAACCAGCAACTTCCGCTGAACGACATATAGCCCCCAGCGCAACCTTTGACATCCTTGCATACCCTTACCCACTGTCAAAAAGAGACTGATCTCCGGTGACCGACCGGGGAAACAAACAACGATCCCGTGAACGGCATGTATGTCGCAAGAACGCCATTTAGGGATGGGATTGACGAGTCCTATACAAGCCAGCCCTGCCCTCAGACTGGACCCTAAACGGTAAAACCTTATACGCACTGGAGTCTAAATCGTATGGCTGTGCTCCCGAGCTGTGTCAACCCACTGGGCGCAGCCACCAGTCCGTCGAGATCTCAGGCAGTCGGCACGAATCCCGCAAACCCAACCTGTAGCCCCTATGTCTACGGAATGTACCAGTATTATAGTTCATATCAAAGAGTGCTGGAGATGCATTTTTCTGGGCGTCGGGTACAACTCTAAGCCTCAACCTTTGTCGTCATTCCAGAATGACAGAAGCTCAACAAAACCCGCTGATGTGGAAGTTATCAGATTTCATTTGGTCTGGGATAGGGTTAAGGCTGGCAGCAAAGCTTTTCTTGAGTTGTCCAAATCTTGGAGGTTAGGTCGAGTCGAGTTCTTGAAGAGCTCTTTCTCTCAAACAAGATGCCGTGCACCTCTCAGATGTAAACTACCTCAGCCCCAAGAGCTGAAACCCTCAGTTCCTTTCGCCGCAGGCCTGGCTGTCCTCGACATGTCGCCAGGTGGCCCCGCGCCAACAAGTTAGACAATTTGAAAGGCTGCTGACCGAACGGGTTGGCCCACAGGTCGTTCATTGGGTTTAGGATTGCGGAAACATATAAACAAACACCCTTGTCACACCTTGATAAACCCTTACGAATCCCCATTCCGGCATTCCGAAATATCACCAGGTTCGGCGCGCGGAAACACGTTAAAACCATTATAGAAGATTGGAGGTCTGCATCTTCGCGGAGTACACGACACGTTTCCACCTGCGACCCGCCTCGATCCCAATGCAAGCGGCTCTGGAAGCCTTATGAGGTGCCTATCTTGGCTGCGCTACCATTTCTCGCAGCAAAAGAAGTCAAAGACTGGAGATCACGCCCCAAATCCTCTCTCTCTCTCTCTCTCTCCCTGTCTCACTCAGGAAACACAAATTCCACCTACTAATGTTTCGAAACCCGCGAAGCTTGGAGGACTTTGTGGAGTTTAAGGGCAAGGTCCAGGGCTCCTGTAGGAACCGTTAGGGGCCGGTTTAGGGCTGTGATGATTTAACTGAAAAGCGCCGGACAATCTAATACACAGCAAAACCCTCTTCTCACTATGTAAGGCGCTTATGCTACAGTATAGGTACGGGTTCGGCTTCAGTGTTCAATCTGCAGAAACACGCAGGGCAACCTCTGACGGAGTGCACAAAGCCCGCTTCGGAGATTGTGCCATGGAAGTGCTAAGCTGTGCTGGGGAGGAGTCGCGGCTTGCCGACGTGTTTGCTAACGCAGGATCTGGGTTTTTTGGAATGCATCAAACTCTCCCCAAGCTCCATTTGTTGCCGCAGCCTGTACAACAAAGCTTAAAGCTTAGCTGCCTGCCAATACCAAGCAAAGCCTTCCGTGGGCAGAGGCAATTGCACAAGCCAGCTGAAGTCTCACAGACACTAACCAGTTCGCTGACTTTACACACCTTGGCACACGTGCCTGGTGGATCAGCATCGGTTGAGTGCCTCCCCTTTGCGTCGGGGGACCTTGCACTTTGTCAACAGCTACAGGAACCAAGTAAGCTGGCCCTCTGCTGTCGACATCCCCGATGTAGCGAATGCATGAGCAATAGGCGCACACCCAAGTCTAGGATGTACCAAAAGACCTACGCATCAACACCAACTCAAACCCTTATGAGTCCATATTAGCACCCATTGCCAGCTTTGGCTTACTGCGGCAGCTGCTCCTGCAGCTGCTCCTTCTCCTACTCTTCCGCCCACGCCTACTGCTACTCCTGCCACTGTTAGTGCTACTGCTACGCAGCTGCTGCTGCTACTGCTGCTGCTGCTGCTGCTGCTGCTGCTGCTGCTGCTACTACTACTACTACTACTACTACTACGACTACGAAACTAGGAGTACGGGTACGAGCACTAGGCACACTAGCGGGCGGTGATTCTACTACTGGCACTAGCATTACAGTTGTATGAGCGGCGGACTAGCGGTGGAAGAAGTACTATTGGCCTTCCATGGTATGATGTTTCTTCGCCAAATCTTCATGCATGGTTACCCTCTCCGTGTTACATCACACGATCTCAGAGACACGCGGTCAACCTCCAAGAACATGGGGCGTGTTGAGCCTGCTTGCTCTGTGCGGCTTTGGTGGCTTGCATAGGTGTTGCAACAGCCGAGCTGACACGTAATTACAGTGCAGGCTTCTTGCGCTTGGATGCTGTTGTCAAGCAGCTTGGACTAGACCCTGTCAACACTCAGATATGGAAACCTGCACCGGTCGGCAGTGGGGCTAGAGCTCCTGCCCTGCATTGTCGCACCGGCGCGCGAGCTCTTGAAGAGGGCGGTATTCAAGTGTCGCAGCTTGTGAGAACCAGGCAAAGACAACGGGCAAAATACTGCGACGCACGCCGACCTCATATCGACGGAAAACATCGCAACAAAGCAAATGCCTCTCCACCGTTTCTAGTTTCAGGAAGTATTGTCAATGACGCACAGCTTCACAGTTTTGCGGTGCCCTGACAGCCCAATTACTGGGGCCAGGTATTTCGCCGCAAGTCTCCATGAATCATAATCTGCAGCTTGGAAACGCAAGACTGTAGAGCATGCGTCATCAACCGTACATGGGGGAAGTTCGCAGTTGGGGTCGCTTGTAGCAGTTGCGGATACATAGCTAGTTGAATTCGAAAGGCAATTTGGAACAACCCCCACGTCGCGCAATGCAACTCATGCGTTCCATGACCACATGGCGCAAATCGCACAATCGGGTGCCAAGTTCTCACCTAGTCCGTGGCTTGACATTTCGGATCCCGAGTCATTTCGGGCAGACATGCTTGGCCTAGTCACTTAGTCAAAGTTAGGGAGCTTCTTTCGAAGGCCAGATGAGCACCTCCCAGGAAATAATTTGAGCTCAGGGGTTTAGGCTCATTCAGCCGCTCGACAAAGGCTTCTGGTTGTTGGGCGTGGGGTTGAGTTTGGATTGGGGGTGGTCTTTCCGATTTGGCTTGGTCAGGCAAGTCATACTTGACACCTTCTGCGCAGTTCGCAGGGCAACTGGAAGTCACACAGGCATCAGCCGTTCGGCGCATGCCGTCTGAAGAGCCCTTTTTTGCCAGGTTTTGGGGCAAGAGCTGAAAGGGGGCTATAATTCAGGGTCTATGGCTTTTCAATTAAGCCCCACAGGCCCTGAACCGAAACCCGAAACCACTCTAAACTTGAACCCCCCCCCCCCCCCCCCGCCCCGCTCTCCTGCAATCTCACTAAGCCCACACGAGCCCCGAAGGCCTTCCTGAGCCCCAGATCACCAAACTCGTTGCCGTGAAAGTTAGGGCTTGGGTAGGGTTTAGGGTTNNGGTTTAGGGTTTAGGGTTTCGTGAAAGTTAGGGCTTGGGTGGCCGGGGGCTTTGCACAGCACAGAATCAACATCCGCAAAACGATACTGCTAAAGATTGGACCTCCTGTGTAGGCACTTCCAACAACGCCTAGATTTGCCTAGTGAACAAGCACTGCTTGAGATACACAGCCATCTGAACACGTCAAAAGGTCCTAAGTGGTCGAGGACAGCATGACAAGGCTTGTAGAACAAATGCCAAATCGCAATAACTTTCTTAGAATCCTTTCAAGGGCTTCCAGCCCCAAACCCGAAACGCCCGAACTCCACCCACAAAGCCCTGAAACCCTCTAAACACCAAACTAACACAACAACACATTATAATACGATGATATACTAATATACTATTTGTATATTATGATCTGTTACAAATAGTATAGTAGTATATCATCGTGTTATAATGTACGATAACGTATAACCTGAAGTTGGGTCTCCTCGTGGGGGCTCCGCATCAGGGCTCCTCAACTGCGCCGATGGCCTGGCCAGTCGCAGCATGCCCAGTCACCTCAAGGGGCTTAGAGGTTTCAGCACTTTGGGGTTTAGGGCTTCGGGGGGCTATTGAGGACTACTGACAGTACTTTGATCCTACGAGTTGGGATTCTTTGTTAAGCTGTCTCATTTTCTGAAGCGTCAATATTCAAGCTCATGGGGGGGATAACGGCGCCCTTCGAAAAGGACGGTTACATCGATTCCGCCGCGCTTGCCACAGGAAATGGGCTTCCCCTTGGATTTGTTGAAAGCATTTCTTTTACGTTGAGGGTGTGGAAACGCTTAAAACTTATACCCGAGTTTTGGACACTCTAGTCGCGCTTACGGCGTGGTGAGGCTCTTACGCGGGGAGTAGTATATTGAAAGTAGCACTGGCGAAAATACCGAAAGTACCGCGCCTGTCACACGAAACAGGGTTTAACATAGGACATAGGATTGAGAGTCTGCTGAAGCAGCCCGTCGTGTGACATGACATGATCTGACATATGTACATACATGCACACATATGCATATGCATACATACATACACATACAGACATGGGTCATGCATACATGTATACATACCTACACTGCAGGTGTACCAGAACATGTATACATACAAACAGACATGCATTTCCGCATGCATAAACTTCGCAAATAAGGTAGGACTACATGGATCCAAGGAAGAAAAGGATGTAGCACCCAAGTCACCAGATCGGTCCGGCAGAGCGGGCAGTTCCGGTTCACGTTCAGCCATCCCTTGAGGCCTGGGCTCTCGAAGTCTTTCGAAGGCAGCTTAGTAACTTCGGTTCACACTTTGGGGGGACAGGGTTTGGGGCTTCGGTGGGTTTCCCGCTCCCGCTTGGCAAAGTCTGTGAGGGTATAGGGGGTAGGGGTGTTAGTGGAGGCAAAGCTTCGAAGCCATGGGTTGCTGAGAGACAAGTCAAGGGCTCAGCGACGACGTCTACGTAGCATCCCTCATTTTTCTGGCAGATGTCGATCATACTTTCTTCATGTCGCTACAAAGTTTCCGCGACAGATACGTCCTGCAGTCTTGAGATTGGGAAACAAACTACAGTAACATTGATTCGCAGCTGAGGCGAGCAGCAGTCCGTGTGATAGAAATGCCCACAAGCTGTCTTGCGCATCTCCTTTCTGCCGTTCCACTCCTTGCACGGACTGCGAGTGGCTCGGCACTGAGCAAAGAAATATGACCAGATATGACCAGTACTCACAACCACGACGACGACGACGACGACGACGACTGCGACGGCAAGAAGGACAGCAACGACAAGGATGACAACAACAAAACGACGTCAACGACCAAACTTCGACACTAGCAGCAAACAACAACGGTGATTGTCAGCATGCTGTTTAAACACCAATAACCAGACTGTAACTCTCACCTCCACATGACCTGCATCATCCTTACCATGACCTATTCCCATCATCAGCGCAACCGTCATCCTTTCCATTACCGCGATCCCCAAAAATAGGCATCTACGTGATCATCATCCCTGCCGCCCATCGCCGTGTGCAGCTGAGCTATGATGTTTGGGGACTGTCACAGTGAGCCTGGAGCCTGGCTCCTCCAACAGGCAGACATGAGCGCGACTGTTGCCAGTGTCCCCAAGAATCAACATAGCATATCCTCAACCGCACTTCCTCGACTGCGCTACACTTGCCAGCCTCCAGACAAATGGAGCAGCAGTTGTTGTCACCTTCATCTCGGGTCAGGACTGGAGTGGCGGTTCTGGCTAAAAAGCTAAGGCATCCTTCCTATAAGCTTGTTGAGCTGAAGGTTATTTAAAGGTTTGGCGTTTGAGGTTGCGGAGTCTAGGGTCCGTTATGTAGGGCTTAAGTCGTGCCCTTACACCCAGCATCAGCACCCCAACGCCCGACAGGCTGATCCGATTCCCCGTGTCTGTGGCTGCCATTGGGCCTCCCACTAGGCTCCCAAACCCCGGACCCTCTACTACAGTCTAGTTTCTGGGCGGCCTAGCAAGCTTGGGTCATTAGCCCGAGAAGCGGGAAAAACCCAAGCTCGAAACCCCAAGACCCAACATCCGCAACTCTTCTCAACAAATCGGAACGCGTTCACCGAAATGCCCCCCAAGGTCTCCGACCACCTTTTTGTTCAGGGCTTCGGGGCGATAGCGTTAATGGTGTTTTGGGTTTTAGACATCGGAAGGCCTAGTCTTGGTTTGGGGTGTAAGGTAAACCCATTGTGGGGAACTGAAGTAGACAAGGCCGCTGGCTTTTGATGGTGATGTACAGGTAGCATCATATGCATCATCACCACCACCACCATCATCATCATCAGCATCATCACCATCACCATGACAATAATTGTTGCTAAATAACAATCACAATAATAGGTAGTTATAGTGACGAGAATACTGATAATCACTATAACAGCTCTCGCGAACTGCTCAGACCTGTATATGTACCACCGACGGTTGGTACTGTAAGATCCCCGCACCGACGACGGAAGAAACAAATCCAGAGGCCGGCACCCCAGTCGTGGTTGGAGTCGAACTTGAAGACCTGCCAGTCGTGATTTCGGGTGTTACTAGTAGGTCAGTTGCAAAGGGCCAAAACGACATTCTTGGGAGCCTGTTCGCTTCCGACTTTGGGATATCTTCAGCTCTTGTGTATTCAGAACTTGTGTCAAGAAGCCTACCTCTGAAAACGTGGTTAAGCTAATCCCCAGGAGTTCTTTGCATCCAGAACTCCAGAACTGCTTCAACCGCACCGTTGCAAGTGCAGGAAAAGCTACACCAGAACCGGCAGGAACCCATGCTGTCAAGAAAGCACGCAACTGCCAGTCATTTTGCGCACCTCTTGCTTGTCGATGGTGCCTTTGGGCGCCGCATTCTCCTGGGCCGGAGCTATTGAAGTGTGCTTTAGAATGCAGGCTTGGGAGCCTGGCAACCTCCATGAACAACAAGAAAGCCGTGAACCCATCTTTCTGGCAGTTTCACAACCTGAAATTATTCCATTCCTTAGGGCCATTGTGGGGTGGGGGCTTAGGGTTGGGATGGCTCCCAATGGGCTTCTTGAGCCAAAAAAACGGATGCTTGGTCAACTTACATAGCTAAATTGGGACCGATAGCAAGCCGAAGCGCTCCAGTAAAGCTTCTCTAAAGCTTGACGAAGACCCAAACCTTGCTGAGCCAGAGGAATTTGGTTCGGATTTGCTCCTGGCTCTCTTCATCTGCGTGCTCGAATTATTTCAGTCCACGTTTTGTTTTATGGTCATTTAGGGTATTATGATGGCATATGGGCTTGGAGCCTGTCTCTCTCGGGGTCGTCAGATGCAGTCCGAGGCAGACCAACCACGATTGAGCCACAACACGACCACAGAGAACGAATGTCACTTGTTGTCACTCACTCGTTACTGCGGGGAGAAAACAAAAAAAGGGCACGATATCCCGACACTGAGACTGATGGTTCCAAGGTGTGTATCGTAAGCAGGCAAAAGCACTGAGCCTGGAAACTCCGAAATAGTCGCTAGTCAACCCTGAAATCAGGCAAGTCTCTGATGGTGGCAGCATTCCGTGCCTCATCAAGTATGCGAGGATCACCTGCGGCGCAGGTTCATTACATCGTGACAATATTGCACTCAGAATTTGGCCAGGTTCCCTGCATCCAAACAATAGTAGTAGTAGTAGTAGTAGTAGTAGTAGTAGTAGGCCTTCTGCCTTCTGCCGGCTTCGAGTTCACAAAACTTTCCTGTTCCGGGAGTTCAAGGATTAGGGCTCATGGTCAAGACGCTGATTGGAGGGTCTTGTAGGGTTCATAGGGTTGGGTTCGCAGTTTTCGGGCGGCTTAGAACTTCTTAGGAGGCAGCTGCACGTCCGATCATCTTCCTGGAAAGAGACCTCATTCCCGTGCCAGACTCAAGGCTCCGATAAATTCTTTGTCGACTCGGGCTCGGCGCTCACACTCCCACAATCCAGGCAGGAAGAGACATCTGATCGACTGTGTGAAACTACAAGCAGAGAAAGGACAACAAACACAAATCCACGTAAACGATGACTATACCCTGCCAAAGGGGCAAATGCATCCTCTCTCGCCCAGAATCCCATCGACTTAGATACCGACTTTTTCCCACCCGCCCAGTTGACAATGTCGCACCGCAGGGAGCTCGTACCGAGTTAGGGTTGAGGATTTAGTGACATTTAGTGTTTCTTATGCCCTATACCAGCACCAGACCGCGCCATTGTGCCTGCAGGCCAACGGCATTGATGAGAAACCAGACCGCAATAAACAATCCGCAGCCTCGGAAGCATTCGGAGGAGGGGAACTCTGGGGCACAGAGCACAAGGGTGCCATAGCTGCTGAACTAAGTAATCCGGGATTACAGGAGCCTCAGGCTCTCGCTACGTATTTCAGGTCTTAGTTTTACTGCCTGTCGCTGAGGTCGGGGATGAATGCAAAACAGGCCAGCAAGTCAGTAGATATCTGGTATTTTATGCTGCCTCACCCGCGGAGTAAAACAAGACACGCATGAAGAAACATATGGGCAAGTCTAGACACTTGCCCGTGTAATCATGAAAATACTGCTCATGGAGACCGTGTGCACACACGTTGCTACATTGCGTGGTCTGAGTTTATCTCTGTTTAAACACTCTACAACTGGTGCGCTTTTGAGCCACGCTATGCCGTGTTCGCCTGTCATGGCATGTGAACTAGATCGAAAGCCTGGACCCAACTTACAGACTTGCAGTATTCCGGCAGAGAAAGACGTTGAGGACTCAAGACACAACAGTAAGCGAAAGAGTGCACCAGCCGTCGTGGTCGCCATGATGGCCCAAATCTGCAGCAGCGTCAGGAGCAGCACTAGCAGTAAGCATCATTGCCACATATTGTTACAGTAGTGCTAGCCGACCATCCGGTCCTGTCGCTCCACTCCGAGGCTCCGGCTTGCGAAAGCCAAGATGGAGTGGTAAACATCTGGCATAATCGTGGAGCATGTCTTTGACGTAGCTGCCAGCACGATCCCGGTGATGTTCCAAACGAAATCGAAGGTCGGGAACAGCCTGGCAGCGGTTTCTGGATGTGAGCAGAGGTGCTAAACTTCCTTCCTGACGACGAAGTCACTTCGAATTGATAGGATGTCGCCTTCCTTCCTGAAGCCCCAGAAACTCATCAGCTTGCTCCAGGGCAAGGTCCTCTTCAAACCCTCTCCCGCAACAGATTCAATACGGCATGCGGCTCTATCGCACGTCTGCTACCAACAGGAGTGCTAAAGTGCTACCAATGATGCCACGACTACTCCGACGTTGATGAACCACGTCGATTCTGAGTACCGCCACTGCACTGCTGCTGCTCTGATGCACAGGGCCACTCGTGTTTGCGCCGTGGTAGGTCGTAGTCCAGGTGTCTTGGAGTTCCCGTTCGGAGTTTCGCTCCTCTTCAGACGTTCTCTTGCCTCTTGCCAAGTTTGTGTATAGTATGTTGATGCAGCAAAATTCCGATTTAGTGTTCGTGCTTGTTGGGTTAGGAGTTTTCAAAACCCTGAACCTGAACCATACAAACCTCGATTCCTGACTTTCGAGGATCAAGGACCTAGCCGCGAAACCCTCCACAAGCCCTTGGACAAGAATGCCATGGCAGGTCATGCCCCAAAGAGCGCAACGTCCTGCTTCAAGCTTGCTTTACTTCTAGCCTTCTTTCAGGTGGCCTGAACCTCTGAATTCGCAAAAGGATTTGGGCTGCAGGCAACCGCATTTCTGGTGCGCAAGCAAAAGGGAAATCGCTGCCCTTCGACTTACTCTGAAGCCAATGTAGAACTCCTGCCTTTGGCATCTGGGAAGGAAAACTTGTTGATGGTGTTGGGGTGAAGCCAGAAAAATGGCAAGCACAACACAGGAAGACAAGAGCTGGGCTGTTTTTCTTCCTGAAATGCCGACCCTCTGTGGCGTTCCATGGTTCCGAAGATGCCTTCGGCTGCAGCCAAGAAGCAGGTTGTACAGCTTCACGTACCAAGGAGGTGGTGTTGGATTTTCTCGTGGGTCATATCTGCAAACACATCGGATGACATACTTGTGAAATAAGAACCTCGGACGGCAGTGGGTCCGATGGTGGCTGTGGACCGACACACTGGTCTCAAGTGGGCCGGGAGTCCAAGGATTCCAACGCCTGTTCGGTTCTGGAGGTCACTACCTGGCTTTTGCAACCAAGGCGCATGTAGATCTTGATAAAATACCTGACTGCCACAGCTGATTCAAGAACATCGGGCCTCCAAGGCTGTAAACATCTAAACCTCACATGTATCCCAGTCAAGTTGCACCACTGTTACCCACTCGATAAGCGGGGCATCACACGACAGCGCGTCGTTCCTGCATCACAGTGTGAAGCGTGGTGAGTTCACAAAGAGCCCTGAAGCTTTCGAAAGGATCACGAGCCTGTTCACACAGTCAACAGTCAACAAAGTATCTTCTCCCTCGTCCCGTCTGTCTGCTGGGCTAGCTGCAATCTTGCTGCCTATGCGTTGCATGTGCGAGATGAAAAAGTAATATATATATATATACACACACATAATATATGTGTGTGTGTGTGTCTGCCAACATTATTCGGCACGTGCACGTTCATCTTTCTTCGAAAAGGGTTTGTCGAGTATGCATGTGCAGTTTCGCAAGAGAGCATGCTGAAGCGGATGCCTGCGGCATAGTGTGGGTAGCCTTCATGCACGCCTAAATAAAGTGATTCGTGAACTTACTGCCGGAAAAAAATTAGTGTAAGATATAGCGCATCATTCCTGAGATTTGGTTACATTGGCTGCGTGAGGTGATGGTGTTTTCGTCACCTGTTCCGAGGCGATGAAAATGAATGCTTCATGCGTCGTGCCTGTCTACTACGACGCCGTCAACAACAAAAACAACGACTACTGCTGCCGCTGCTGCTGCTACTACTACTACTACTACTACTACTACTGCTACCACTGCCACTACTACCTACTACTACCACTATTATCGCTACCTGCTGCTGCGCTGCTGCTGCTACTGCACTACTACTCCTGCTGCAGCTACTACAGCTACTGCCACTAGACACCCCCGCCCCCCACCCCTACCAACTACCTGGCGCCTAAACCCGTCATCAGTATTGGCTACAACATCACGACAGTACTGTAAACACCGAGCAAAATGGAGGCGTCCTGAAAAGATACGCAATCATGCTACCACCCTCCCACCCCTCAACAGCGGTGGTTGGTATTGGACTTCGACATCACAAAGGCACTGTAAATACAGAGTAAGACGGATGTGCGCTTAAACTGTAGTCAGGAGAAGTAGTTGGTAGGGGGGCGCCTACTACTACACCACTAATTCCACTACCACTACGACTACGACGACGAGACGACCGACGACGACTACTACTACGACTGCGATGACGACGACTACTACTGCTGGCGTGCGTTGCCATGTCATTGAAGGTTGTCTGGCCTGCAATGGCAAGTGAAAGCTCAATCGCGGCCGCTCCTACCACGAACTACTACTACGATGACGACGAAACGATTCCCACTGTAGTACTACGACTACGACGACGCAGCGACGACGACTGCTACTGCTACTGCCACAGTTAATGCTGCTGCTACTACAACTACGTCAACAACAACTACTACTACACGACGACGACTACTACTGGGAGTGCAACCGCGACTGCTGCTGCGACTGCACAACCTGCTATTTGACGCTACGACGACAACACATACTACTACCACTGCTGCTGCTACTGCTGCTGCTGCTGCTACTGCGACTGCGACTGCGGCTGAAACTGCCACTGCTACTTCTACTACTGCTACTACTACTACTACTACTACTACTACTACTACTACTACTACCACTGCTACTGCTGCGACTACTGCTGCGACTACTACTACTACTACTACGACGACTACTACTACAAGGACTATACAAGTATT